GAGAATGCTGGCCTATGACCGTCGCTCTGAACCTCGAGTCGGGGAGCGAGTGCCCTACGTCATCGTGTATGGCATGCCTGGGCTGCCCCTGATCCAGCTGGTGCGACGGCCCATCGAGGTCCTGCAGGATCCCAACCTGCGGCTGAACGCCACCTACTACATTACCAAACAAATTCTGCCGCCGCTGGCCCGGGTCTTCTCGCTGATCGGCATCGACGTCTTCAGCTGGTACCACGAACTGCCACGGGTAAGTGCCTTTGGGAACAAACAGATGACGTGTGCAGTGCATCCGTGCGGTGCTTGGTTTTATTGTGGCTTTTCACAGGACGAGGCTTGTGGGAGGTAACGGAGCAGGTCAGTTTTTTACAAGGCAATGGTTTCATGCCTAAACATGCAGGCTTGATTCTTAGGTCTTGTGTGTTTTTTTCATTTAGCAAGTCAATTTTTCCTTCTGATCCTTCTGTTCAAGGTTGATCTGTCAGGCTGTACTTAATTTAAATTCTGTACGGTCAGTGTTGGAACTCTTGTTTTTCCAAGATGTTCTGAGGATCCTCTTCCTAAAAAATGTGGTAATGCCAAAGCAGCAGGAACACTTTCTTAAGAATCACCAGAAGTTTTAATCTGGTTGTTTCCAAAACTGCAGCCACCGGAGCTGCAGCAGGGCACGTGGAGCAGCAGCTCAGCGCATAGATGAACAACTGCAGGAAGCGGGGTTTGAGATGAGCTCAGGAATTTACCCCGTGATTTAGGATTTCTGCAGTGTTACTCTGTTTCTCCCTTCTGGTGAGCTTCCTTGTGAAACTGGTCATAGTGTGTGGGCAGGTGCTCCTTAGAGCGCTGCAATCCACCTTCATAATTTGCCTATGAGCTGTGCCCCACAGGCTACGTTACGTTTCCATACTCCATAAAAATGCCTGCGTAATCTAGGAACAACACAAGCTGCTCTCTCCAAAGTTCCTTACCTCTTACTTTCTACCAAACAGATCCAAAAAACTGCCTCCACTGCCCGCAGTGAGCTGGAAGGACGCAAAGGCACAATCTCGCAGTATTTCACGACCTTACACTGTCCCGTGTGTGATGAACTGACCCAGTACGGGATCTGTAATAAATGCAGAAGCCAGCCGCAGCATGTGGCAGTGATTCTCAACCAAGAAATCCGAGAGCTGGAGCGTAAGCAGGAACAGCTGGTCAAGGTATGATTAAAGCATTGTCAGATGTCTGTCAGCCACAGACAGAGGCTGAAATTTCAAAGCAGCGTGTTACTGAATACCCTCAACAGAAATAGGAAGTGCAGCCCTGGTGTTAAACGTGTTAGAACTTGTTTGCTTTTCCCGTTGCTGCTGAAGGCAGCGCAGCAGCTGTTACTCTCCTTAGCATTGCATAAAACCGAAGCCAAAGGGGGCGGAGAGGAGCTGAACAAAAGATGCTTTTTTCCTTTTCTTGCTTTTTTTTCATTTTTAAGAATATCTTGCACGGTTTTTTAGGTTCCTTTTCATAAGTGTTGATGAAGAGTTGTAAAATATGTTGAAAAAATCAGCTTTTGTTATAAAACAACTGGTGATGTTCCAGTAACAAAAAAAAAAAACCTTTGTCTGAGAACAAAATATTTATCTGCATGCATAATGTGGATGTGTTCTAGTTTGGGTTTTTTTTGTTACCTTTCCTCTTGCTACAAATATTCCAAGCTGTTTTTTTTCCCTTGAGCTAGAAGTCAATTAAGAGGGCAGCTGACTGTGCTCCCTAATGCGTTATAGCAAAGCACTCTGCTTCCCCTTTCAGTATGCCCTCACCTAATTTTTGTACTGCAGTAGTTTAAAATTAATATTTGGGTTTATTTTTGTTGTTATTGTTGAAATCATTTTTAGCACTCGCGCATGAACCATTTTGATTACTTGCCTGAATTGCAGGGATATAAATGTTCCCGTAATCTGGGCATTAATTAGCCATATTCCTATGGGGCTCTGTTCCTAGAAAACCATTTTAATTCTCGATTCATAAATACCACATTACTAAGATGTGAACTTCTCTTTTCTTGCTGTATTTTGCAATAGCAGCTCTCATCTGCATTGTAAATGACAGGAAAGGAAGGCGATGTGTTTTCCTGTGGTGCGCTCGCCCTTTTACATTGCTTTTGTTCTGGAATAAATTAAAACTGGGCGGATTGGTCTGGCCTCGCCGAAGGACCAGGGGTTTTGCTCTCTTGTCAGTGCAACTTGTGCCAGGGCAGCAAGGGCTGGGATCCAGTTCTAGTCAGTGTTTGGTGACTCAGCCTGTCAGTAGGAGCATGTGTCCCGATCTACATGCGCCTCATGGCGCAAATTCTTGGCCCTCCTAGATCATACACAATCCAGAGCCAGCAGAAAACCCATGTATCAGTTTAATGCCACTGATGATATTTTAAAACTTGGCTTAAAAATTCGCTGCCCTAGAAGAGAGCCACAGACTTGTTCACAAGATACAAACTGAACGTTGAAAGCGTCTTGAGTATTACTTAGTTTGGCCCCATGGTTTCAGACCAGCCCCAGCCTCTTCCAAATGAACCAGAGGAGACTGTAATTTCTGAGGCTCTGCTGGTGGTTACAATCCTAGAACAAACCCAGTATAAATCCCGTTCCTAAAGGTCAGCAGGGGCTGGTGTCAGCACAGCGTGTGCCGCCTGGCTGAGGGGCTGCTCCTCCGCAGCTCCTGCCTGAGTTTCTGGTCTGCAGCAACTGATTTTAAAAGCAGACAGAGTTCATTGATACGACTTTGACCTCTTGCTCAAACTTTGCAAATGCTAGGAAGGCTCCAAATTCTTGTGTTACAAAACACAGGTGTGGATGGGAAGCAAACCAGCGAGTTTTTGGAAAAACTGTTGGGGGTGGCAGGTACTGAAAAGGTTAAAAAATAGAAGAGCAAAGCAGGGGAGTTCTCTTGAAAACTAATCAGATTGTGTTTTCCAAAAACACCTTTGGAAAAACTCTGCCTGCTGCTATTTTATTCAATCAAGTATCTCACGTTAAAAATACTTTCAGGCAGCGTTGGCAACATTAATGAGCGATTCCATGAACAAAGAGAGCAGTCGGACCTGCCTTCATATTTAGGTCTTGGGATTGATTGACTCTGACCTGGAAAGTAAAAGCTCTAATTGAAGCTTATCTTGAAATAGGAGCAGCTTATTAATGAAGTCTCTTTCCTGCACAGCAAGTAACTGCAGAATAGCAGCTTTTGTGTTGCCACTAGGAAACTTCTACAGGGTGGGATTGCCACGAGTATCCCTCACTGCCCCACCTGAATCCACTCAGCTACTTCGCCTGTTTTCCCAAGTGCCACCAGCTGTGAGTAGAAGTGAAAACCCAGCTGTGTGGCCAGGCTGGTGACCCGTGCCCAGGTCACAGCAGGAGATTTCTGCCTGCCAGGTGCTAGCACCAAAACTAACCGCCGGGCAGGGGCAGGAGAGAGCTGCCTGGAGCCTCTGTGCTCAGCAAAAGCTTGGTGCTGGCTGCCTGCAGGGCTCTGCCTGTTGTGCTGCTAAAACAGCAAGGACATGGTAGTCTTGGAGCCTTGTAGCCTTGCGTTAAGTTTAAAATAATCTGGTTTGCTTTTTCCCTGTGCGATCCAGATATGCAAGAACTGTACAGGCTGCTTCGATCGACAGATCCAGTGTGTCTCCCTGAACTGTCCCGTGCTTTTCAAGCTCTCCAGAGTGAGCAGAGAATTATCAAAGGCACCGTATCTTCGCCAGCTACTTGACCAGTTTTAAATGATCTGTTACAGGATTCCAGGTGCTATTTTTTTTCAGTGTTTACCACACTAAGACTATTGTGCATGGTGCTTTTTCAACTCATCTAGTCCAGGATTTCCATTTTAACTGTTGGGTTTGTTATCTGAAGAATAATGAACACTTATCCTAACTAAATTAAAAAAAAAATAAATAAGTACATTTGTTGATCTATGAATAGCTCACTTTTTAAGATGTACAAATTCCTTCTTTCTTTCATGTTTCTAACATACTGTTTTATAATGCTGATGTTGAAATAGCTATGTGTAACATCTTGTAAATCCATTTCAAAGTAGAAGTCAAGTTTACTTCCTGGAGGAAGGAGCACTGAAAACCTCTTGAAACGATAAAACCATTAGTGTGTGTTCTTGAACTGTCAGTATCAAGACGTGTTATTATATATTATCCATTCACTTTATAATTTTGTCTGCGAAATATTTTGTAAATACACTTTTTTACTTTTCAAACAACTGAGTAAAATAATGTGCAATGACTTTTATACAGATAATTTTAAAGTTGGTTGGTATATCTCCTCCTAAGTTTTGCTTGATTCCAAGTAGATGGTTATTTTGATCAGACTGTGCAAACAGTAGTATCATGTGTAGCATTTTGAAACATTATTTTCTAAAAATTGCTGTCTTGCTTTAGCTATTAATGGGGCATTGTGAGGAACTGTGCAAAGACATTTTTGTTACAAACCTGTGGGACTGTTGCAATACTTTAAATATAAAATTTTATTCCATTTTTGCTTGTTTTGTATAGACATTTCTATTGCTTCTAAATATGCTTAAAATATTTTCTTTCCTTATGTACTGTACAGTTAAATCTTATTTGCCACCATCTTGACAAAATGTGTATTTAGAATATTTGTATAACTGTATAAAATGGAAAAGGAATTATGTGGTCAGTGCATTGTTTTCTAAACTGGAAATCATTTTGTTTTAGAAGTTAATAATGGAAACCATATTAAAGTTGAATAAAATGATATGGTAAAAATCTACACGCTTCTTCTTTGTAACGCCCAGCTGCAGACGCCTTTCTCTCCTTCGTTATGCACATGAAGAGCAATGTAAGTGAGACTGCTGAGAGTAGAATTCACAATTCGGTTTCCAGCCTAAACTTTGTGATCTGAAGCCACGGTATCAATGCCTGGAGGCCTCCTCCGAACAGGAAGAGAAACATTTCCAGTTGTTTTCCATTAGTCTAACCAGGAGTACATTTTAAATTTAGAAGTCCAGAGTAGCTTTTAAAAATAGAACAAAACTTTATTTACATAAAAGGAACCTGAGTGCCTCCTCCAGTTACGAATTTATTACATTCAAGATACGAGTCAGTCCATTAAAGTTCACACAGTACAGTACAATGTAAACCCACAAGCAGAATAAAACCTTCTCATATAGAACAGAACATACGCAGGTTGCTAGGAGCTTTTATGCAAAGTAATCCAAAAAAAAAAAAACCATGAAGGCACAAAATTTTGCCTGCTCTTGCATTCTAGCACTGTATGGTCGTTTACTGAGTAAAAGTGCAAATGCCAGGACCGAGGCCTTAGTGCCTGCAGTACAGTCCAGCATCTGGCGTGAGTCAGGGATAAATAAAAACATTTCGTGACATTTAACTCTAAGACTTTACCTTTAACACTGGAGGAAAACAGGCACATGACCATCTTCAACCCATTCCTGTTTTTATTGACAAAAATACAAATATTAAGTTGGGATACCTAACCCACTGACCAGCTCTCGTCCCCTGCACTAGGATGAGTTTCTAGCACAAACAAGGCAAGAGGAAGGCCATACAGGTAACTGTATTAATTTCAGCCCATAACACTTAGAAGGTCCTCCACAAAGCTTAAACACTTATTTTACCCTTAACTTAAAAGGCACTGTAAAGAGCTCCTCACTTGAACTGTAAGACTACGTATGCCAAGAAGTAATTAATGTTGGAAAGTCAAACATATGAAAACCAATATTCATTTTCTAAAACAAGTCTTGAGGAGCACCAAAAATCCAATTAACTAGCAAGAAAGCTGCAGCCTTGACCATCAAGTCTGGAGACCTGCTACGAGCCGGCCTCATCACTGAAAACGCCTTAGAGCTGCTTTAATCTCAAATTGGGTTAAACATTTCATTTTCATTGACGGACAGCCCCGCCACTCAAAGCCTTGCATTTAGGGAGTAAGGAGAGCGCGTTCTGCAGGTGTGTGCCATTTCACGCCTGAGGCCAGCATTAAGACACTGAGAGCTCCAAATCCTGGCAAAGACACCTCACAATTTAGAAGTAGTCCAGACAAAGGCTCCTGGGTCTCTGTCCAATGCGATGCTGCTCAAGACCCCGAGGTAAGTGCCCCTGTGCCAGCCTGCTGCTGGGTTTTGCCGTTTGCTTTTTGTAAAAGATTCACTGACCTCAGTGCTCCAGGCTGCTGCTCTGTGCCTTCTGCTCTGCACTCAGAATTCGTAAGGGGAACAGCAGTGATGCTTACTGTGTGACTTCAAGTGCTTTAGGTGGGCGTTATCAGCCAGGAACTCTTTTTTGGAACAGTATTTTTACATTTGTTGTAATATATATGTACAACATACATCTATATATATATAGTATGTAGCCTGTATACACACAGATTATATATTTCTCAATGGGGGGGCTTTAACTGCATTTTCTGTTTTCTACCACTTGATTATTCAACATTTGTTAACTATCCCTGAGAATAATCTTACCTGCAGGACATTCCAGTTTGAAATTGCATTCAAAAACATTCTGTATAAATTGGGCATTATTCAACAATCTTCCTGGTTTCAGGTAGGTTTCTTAAACTAGGGTTTTGTTTGTTTGTTTGTTTGTCTTTTTCTGAAGACATGATCTCAGGTATGTGGAGACTTCTGTAAAGTCACTAAAGATTCCCACCACCAGAAGTCCCCATTGCTCCATTTTTAAACTGCTAATTACAGTTACTTCTAATTCAGACAGAAAGACAGCCAAAGGTTTAGTATTCTGGTAGATTTTCCAGCTAGGACATTCATGGGGTCTTGTATTAATTTTGCAAACATAGTTAGGACTCCACATCAATTCAGCTACAGCAGATGGAGGGCTACTACAGCGGAGCACTGCCACACACCATTTCTGTAGCCATTGCTGGGTGCCCTGTTCTGAACCCAAAGGATAACCTGTGACCTCCGTGGGGGCGGAAGGAAATCCCCCAAAAGCAGAGTGGAAGCAGTCGCTATTTCCTCTCTCTCTGCTCACCAGCAGGATTGGGCCATACCATCAGATCACACTCCCAGGGCTCCAAATACGAAGCACTTATTGCAGAGTGCAGGAGGGAAAAAGAAAGCAAACTTCGAGAAATCTCATCTTAATCTGCACTCGTGTGAATCACTCTCCCTGCCACGCCAGTTATTATTATTACAAGAGACTTACTGACTGAGTAAGGCCATGCAGACTGACTTCTGCTGATCAAACACTGGCACCTGTAGCAAGAACAGGATTTGGGCTTATAATTAAAAGCATTTAGAAAACCTCCAAGCAGCAAAGAAAACCCTTGCATAGCAAGTGAAACGAATCAGCATTTAAAAGTGCAAGTTCATGCATTGCACTGGAAAAGATGCCGCAGAAGTATGCGCACAAGGAAAAGGAAAGAGGAATCCGGCAAATATGCAACAGAATTCAAATGCCTATGGCAGCAGGACAGGGAGGCCCTTTAACATCTCAGGATTTAAAAAAAAAAAAAAAGTTTTCACTACACATAGATTTCTGCTTCTTATCAACTTCTTAGAAGAAAGGACAAAGCCATTAGGTTCCAGGTCAAACACTCAAAGGACAAGAGAAGGAACAAAACAGACCTGAAAATACACGGAACATCTAAGATCCTGTGCTATTGTACATTTAGAGCTCTTTCTTGTGTTAGGAAATCAAAGTTCTTAGCAAAAAAATGCTAAGAAAAGTGCAATTTTTTCAAAAAACATTCTGATCATACAGCTTTAAAAAACACTAACTTACAAATTCTGGTTTTCAAGTAGATAAATCGCAAGAGCGCTGTTTCAGATTTTGCCCTCAGCTGCTGTGCTTCTGTTCTTACAGTGCCTGCCCACACAATTCCTCCTGAGGGCTTCCTCCCTCACAGCAACGAATCCACAAACCCAAACTGCTTCTCCAGGAAAAATCTACCTGCAAGTCCCTACCCACAGAAACAAAGGGCGAGTGGCACCGACCCACCTGGTCTGGGGCAGGCGGTGGCACAGCACAGCCCAAAGGGATTGTCTCACCAATAATTCCACCTCACTTTCAAATTTGCACTCCTTTCTTTTTTTTTTTTTTTTTTTTACATATTGCTATGTAAAAATCTTGGCACAGGGAGCCAGAAAAGTTGTTACAACTTCAAAGTAAGCAACTGGCTTAAAATCTCACGGCCCTATGTCAATCCCATCCATATATTAATATTACATCTAACACAGCATTTATCTTCTTCATAAACTTGATTTCAGGGGTAGTGCAGTAATTAAAATCATAACACCAATCACAAGTACTTTCAGCTTCGATTTGCCGACATCATTTAACTCAAAGCATTTAAATCAGAGCCAAGCCTTACACTGATCAATATGACCCATTTTGTCCCCCCTTCCCACACGACACTTTTAAATGACCCAAAGTCACAGTTCCTAAAAATTAATCTGGATTTTTTTTCTCATCTCAGTGGCAGAACCAGACAATCATGTAATTTGCCAGCAGGACAACGCCTCTACAGCTGCCAGGCATAACCTGAAATTTAACTCGACTCCCTGGCTTGTTGCACGCAAATTTCAATGCAGTAGAAACATAATCCTGTTTCACCAGGTAAGAAGTTCAGCACCACAGATGGCAGATCTCTCTCCTTTCCGATGGGAACATTTTGTGACCAAGCAGCTCGGAACTGCACCCTGCGCCTACCTCCAAAAAGCTGTGTGGTCCGAGCAGCTCCTTCCCAGCCAGCTCATTTTACAGCATAAATTACTTCCACGCGTGCCTGACATTGAGAAAACATCTCGTGTGTTTTAACATTTTCGGCATAGCCTACAAATTTTATCACGTCACCACATTCACATCCTCGTGGACTTCTGCGCTCCGAGACGCCTCGCTGCGGGCCGAAACTGGAGGAGGAGAAAGGAGCGGACAAACACGGGGATGAAACACTCAGCTCGGCACCACGATGAGGAGATCCTCGAGCCACTCTACAGGAACAGCTACAGCTCAGTTGCATTTCCATTTCAAAAGGAAAAAAAAGAAAAAAAAAAAAACACGGTTTTTACTTTAATCGTTCTTCTCCCGGTCAGCATTCGTGGTTTTTCTCCCAGGGGAGCCGCCAGCTGGAGCATCGCCCGAAGCATCGTCTGGGTGTGGCTGGAGGGAGATTTTGGCCGGCGAGTCCCCCGGGCCCTTACGGGAGGTGTCTACCACAGAGTTTCTCAGCGTATCGTTCATTTCGATCACCTCGAAGTCCGCTTCGTTCCACTCCCCCGCGTCCTCCTCATCCTCTTCGTCCTCGTTGAGCCCCGAATTGGACAGCAGAGCTTTCCGGTCCTCGCTCTCGCTCACCGCTTTGGTCTCGCCCTCCCCGGAGGCTTTGGCCAGCCCGTACATGACGGGGAACAGCAGCACCGTCACGGCGGAGGTGGCCAGGGCCGTGTACATGACCACGGGGACGTGGCTGAAGCGGCCCTGCAGGTACCCCACCGCCGCGGGGATGCACATCTCCCCCAGGGCGGCCCCCACCACGAAGAGGGAGGCCGCCTTGCCCTGGATGACCGTGTACTGCTCGAGCCAGGAGATGCCGCTGGGGAAGATGGTGGCCATGGAGGCGCCGTACACCGCCGTCCCGGCCCAGAGGGAAGCCGCGTGCCGCGCCAGGAAGGCCAAGCACGAGGAGGCGGCGGCGGAGCCGAGGAGACTCAGCAGGATCATGGTGCCAGGGTAGAGGCACGCAGCACAGAAGATCGCCACCCCCCGGCACGCAGCAAACGTGCCCCAGAAGACAGAATTGAGGGCGGCCGCTTCGTTTTCGTTCATCTCGGCAAAGACCTTGGCGTAGGTAAATATGTAGGAGCCGTACGTCACCTCCGCCCCCACGTAGCAGAAGAAGAAGAGGAAGAGGAGCACGATAAGGGCGTAGTGGTGCTTGGCGACCCTGTGCTTCTGCACGGCGGCCTTTGATTTGTCTCGAGCTGAGCTGCTCTTGGAATACAAGATAAAAAAGAAGAAGGACACCACGAGGAGGTAGGTCCCGATGACAACGTAGGACCACAGGAACTCGGCCCCCAGGCGGTGCCGCAGTGCCAGCGGGGCCGAGGCCGTGGGCACGGGTCTCGGGGCAGACTGGTTTCCCTTCTCCCCCACGGGCAGGTCGCGAGGCTCCGAGCTGCCCAGTGCCATCTTAGCCAGGATGGGAGCCACGAACGCGCCGATGGCGAAGCTGAAGTGCAAAGCCTGCATGTGCGGCCCGGCCTCCGGCCCCCAGGTGTTCAGCGCTAGCACGTTGCCACCTGCAGATGGGAGAGAGCAGGACGCGGTCACTCCAGCCTCAAACCAGGCACCGGTTCAAAAAGGAAAACAAAATCCTCTATATGATAAATTCCATCTGCAATACTGCCCGTTTTAGCAAGCACACGATGCAGAAGTGTAGTTAATGCAATGCTGCACCTTAAGCTCAATGCCTGGCTGCAATTTCAGAGGGTATTCACTTCTTTCTTTGTTTGTTTTTGTCTTTACCCAAAATAGTCATTCTAACAGCTTCTCATCTTTGTAAGTTTTAGCAGGAACAATGCACGGTGCCAGGAATCAAAGGTCTCATTACACATCCCAGGAAACCCCAAGCACCGCTCGCACCTCACGAGCAGGGACCACCCCACCTGCGTTCCAGTGGTTAGCTGTAGCTCCAGAAGCACAAAGGTTTACAAAAATGTTGCTGCAGAGGTCAAACTGCAGCACCCTCGGATCAAAAATAATGCTAGAAAATCAGATCTGAGAGAGATTTTTTAATACCCCGCAAGAAGAACGCGGGAGAAGAAGGGCAGTAATCAAATTCCTGTGCTGCAGTACAGCAGCCCCGGTCACCCACCACTGATACTCTTCCAAATTAGTTAAGCTACGCCCTGCTGCCTCGTTTAGTTTCTCTTGCCACCCCTGCTCAGGCCAGGAGGCCACCTGTCTCAAAGGCCTGGCTGTCAAGCAGCTCCTACTGAGGAAATTTTTACCTTAAGCCCACAGCACTGTGCCATATGAAGAAATCTGAATCCGGGGGCCAAGTGCAAGGATCCTACCACAACAAATACAGCTCTTTTTTCTCTCCTGGATCCTGGGACAGGCTGCCTTCAATGCCAACAGAGAGCAGCCCTGCAGAGAGGGATTTGGGGGTGCTGCTGGACAGAAGGCCTGGCGTGAGCCAGCAGCGTGTGCTTGCAGCCCAGAAAACCAACCTGCATCACCAGGGGTGAGGCCTTTTCACGTGGGCAGATGATGACAGGGCAAGAGATAATGGCTTTAAACTAAAAGAAGGGAGATTGAGATTAGATGTTAGGAGGAAATTCTTCACCCAGAGGGTGGTGAGGCCCTGGCGCAGGCTGCCCAGGGAAGCTGTGGGTGCCCCATCCCTGGAGGTGCTCGAGGCTGGACTGGATGGGGCTTTGGGCAGCCTGGGCTGGGGGGAGGTGTCCCTGCCATGGCAGGGGGTGGAATGAGGTGAGCTTTGAGGTCCCTTCCAGCCTGAGCTGCTCTCTGACTCTGAAGCTGGCACGCTGCTGGCATCACCTCCTCTTGCAGCCGCACCAGCACTTGTGCAGGAACTCCAGCTCTCTCCACCACTGGCACATTTTGGTTGTTTTCCGATCCTCATCTGCAACTAGCACTAACGACCAGCAACCCTCCTAGCTTCCTGTAGGTGAGTACATTCAAAGAAAAACACCATTTAAGGGGCACGCGGCACTTTCTTTAAGCCCCTAAATGCCCACTGTAATGCACATTGATCTTCCCCGGGAAGCAGGAGACACCCATCTCCCCAGATCTGTTAGAGACACAAACACCGAACGAGTCTGTTACAGGGACACCAACACTGAAGCCTCAGGAGCAGAACAAACCAGCAGGAATCCTGGCCAGATAAAACAGCTCCCTTCTTTTAATTCCAGATGTGTCAAAGGAAGTCCGTCAAGCTCATGAAAACTGTCAGCTGTGAGTTCCCAATCAGTTCAGTGAAGGAACCACTGCACCGAGGGGTCACTTACCTGTGTCTAGGACTCCCATGGAAGCTCCAATGACTGACATCAGGACGGTCAGCAGCAGGGATTTCTTACACCAGGGTATGCCATAAAGGCCGACCGTCGTTCCAAGCATGGATAGTGCTGGAGGGGTTAACAAACAAAACAAAACAAGTAAATAAATGCTGCAGTTATTATATTTGGCCCCACTTAAAAGTCACTGAACTCATAAAATCCCATAAAGTGATTCCCCTTAGCCTGTAAGTGCCCTCCCTACAAAAATGCTGACTTTCATTTTTATTTTGCTCTCACATAAGCAATGTTTTAAGAGGTAGACGTACAACATGTCTCATCACAAATTTACAACAATTCTTGGACTGTATTAGTGTTGCTACTACTAGCTCACGTGCCGTTTTGAAAAATATCCTACAGGGACGGAATTTATTTTTATTGAAGTTTGGGGGGACCTTCAGCAGTTAAATTGTGTGCTGATGGTCACCATTGTAGGAAAATATTCTGCAATGAATGCCTTGAGTACACAGTATTAGGCTTAGATAACTTCATTGTTGGTGTGGCAGATACTTAAGGATCAATGATGACAGATGCAACTAACTCAGGTTAATTCCAACATGGAACAAAAAAAATATAGAAGAAAAAAATCCAGAACCCTAGTGAAACACCTGAAATTCATGCTTCAAAGAAATCTGACAGGCGACTGATCTGCACAGGGAGAAAGATGAAGATGGGGCGTACCGAGGACAGCTTCCCTGCTGCCTCGCTGAGAGCTGAAAAGCAGCTTCTTGACAAATCCTCAGCTCCCCACTTCAGAGTTTCCCTGAAGATTGGTGCTTAAAAGCCTCCTCGACAGACTGTGTACTCAAAACCTGCACAGCAGCAGAGTTTCACCAGCTGACGGCTGGGAGGTGTAACTACAGGAGCCAGCAGTCTCTCAGAGGCAGCCCTCCGATGCTGGAAACACGAGACGGTTCAGTAGCTCAGGCTGGGTTTTTGCTGTGCTATCAAATCAGGAGGAATACAGAGATGAAATGGATTTTCCAAGCGTTACTCACAAACACCTACCCCACGATATGTCGGGAAAACAAGCAAATACTAAACTGCTTCGAGTTAATGCTGACTTCCACAGGTGTATTATTTCCATGATGAGAGGCAACGTCTCAGATGTCAGACATACACACCTCTGACCCCACTGGATATAAAAAGATCAGGAAGTTAAAGGGAAGCCACTTTACGAGTGCTCCAGAGCAGAGGAATAACGATCAGGGAGGAGAACAAATAAAGCTGAACAGGCAGGCACAGAGGGATATGAAGAGACTTGGTTCAAACACTATTGATGGAAAATGGAGCTTCTCGTGTTCTCCAAGCCAACGTGGTGATTAAAGAGCTGCCCTCGAGGGACGCAGAGTTCTGTTTGAATCTCCCCAGGTGAAGGGTTTTGTTGTTTTTGGTTTTATATTTTTTTCCTTTGCCCAGAGAAGCTGTGGGTGCCCCACCCCTGGAGGTGTTCAGGCCAGGCTGAATGTGCCTTGGCCAGCCTGATGTCAGGGATGTAGCCCTGCCCATGGGTTGGAGCTGGATGGGCTTTAAGGTCCCTTCCAACCCAAGCCATTCTGTGGTAACATTTGGAAGGAAGAAGGAGAAAGGAGAGCCCCAGCAGCTGCTCTGAGAGCCCCTGCCCGAGCAAGAGGGTAATGGGACTCGGAAGGGAGCATCAGCCCTTCTGGACTGAACGCAGCCCTGGCAGCCGAGCAGTCCGGCTCCATCAGAACAAGGCCCTAACACTGGAGAAAGTTTTGATGTGCCCAGGAAACATTAAGATCATAAACTGCTGCTCCTACAGACCTTAAATGTTTCCATAGACAGGGAGAAACCAAGCAGCAAGCTCCCAGAATCACAGATGGCATACCAAGTTTTCCACTTTAAATAAGCTCTAATTTGATTAAGGTCCTCCAGCCAAAATCTCAGTATTTTTGTCTGGGACGTGAAGATGAACACTTCAGCCGAGCTCTAACAGAGGCAAGAGTTTTACCTGGCTTCCCCTGCAGAACTGTCCCTCAAAACACCACCACAGCCGATCCCAGCTGCGCGCACATAAAAAGCACAGAAGCACAGAATATCCCCAGCTGGAAGGGACCCACAGGGATCATCGCGTCCAACTCCCGGCACCACACAGGACCACCCAAACCTTCAGACCAGGTGACTACGCGCACAGCCCAAACGCTTTCTAAATTCAGAGAGGCTTGGTGCTGGCACTACGTCCCTGGGGAGCCTGCTCTGGTGCGCGACCACCCTCTCGGTGAGGAACCTCTTCCTGAAAATCCAAGACAGTTCCACCTATTTCTTTCATATATCTCATAAGGTGACACTACACAAGGCTCTGTGTTGCAGGAGGGTCTATATCAAGGATGTTATTTGATAGAAAGGAGCATAGTTTGTACTTTTGTCATGGAAAGAAAGGCGCCTTTTGGTCAACCCAAAGTTTCTGCTGGCCCTAAAACATCTCCGGCCACCAGCATGCCCAAATCCACGGCCGTGAGCCCGTGCAGCAGCAACACCTGGGCACGTACAGCACCCGAAACCAAACCCAGGGGAATATTTTAATGCGTGACGGGGCTTGGCGAGGCAGGGCGCTATGTGGGGGGCCAGCCGGACCCCCATTTCTCAGCCCCGTGGCATCAAAGCGCTGGGTTCCCCTCGTGCCCTACGTGCAGCAGCGGGCAGTGACGGGTGGGCTGAGGGCCCCTCAGCAGCGAGGGGCAGCCGGAGGCCGAGCTCAGAGCCCCGAGGTCCCCCCACACCCTCACCCCTCACCCCACACCCCCGGGTCTCACCCAGCAGCAGGTGCGCGTTGAGGCAGTCGAAGAGCAGCCCGCCCAGCACCGAGCCGCCCAGGTAGCCGAGGGAGCGGCCCACGAAGACGAAGTAGATGTCGGACACGTTCCTGCGCACGTTCTGGGCCAGGTTCTGGAAGGTGGGCCCCAGCACGGCGATGCTCATCCCCTGAAACACAGCGCCCGGCGTCACGGACACGGACCCGGACCCGGACCCGGACCCGGACCCGGACCCGGACCCGCTCCCCCCGCCCGCTGCCCGCTCACCAGCCCCAGGAAGGCGGCGCACAGCGCCCCGGAGATGCACCACCGCAGCGCCGCTCCCTCCCGGCCGCCGGCTGCCGGCACCTCAGCGAGCTCCGGGCCCGCTGCCGAGCTCGTCCCGGGGGCGAAGCGGACATGGGCACGGCCATGGGCACGGGCACGGGCAGGCTGCGGCCGCTCCGCGCCGCCCATCGCCGCCGCGGCCCCGCCGCACCGCGGGCAGCGCCCAGCGGAACCGCCCCGCAACGCAACGCAGCGCTCGGCCCGGCCCAACCCGCCCAAAATGGCGGCCAAGGCTGGGGGGGAACCGGGAGGCTGAGGGGGATCGGGGTGCTCGCTACAGGGCAGGGCAGGCTGAGGGGAGGCCTCATGGCGGCCTGCAGCTCCCTCACGAGGGGAGCGGAGGGGCAGGCGCTGAGCTCTGCTCTCTGGGGACAGCGACAGGACCCGAGGGGACGGCATGGAGCTGGGACAGGGGAGGGTCAGGCTGGGGGTTAGGGAAAGGGTCTGCACCCAGAGGTGGTCGGGCACTGGGACAGGCTCCCCAGGGCAGTTTAGACAACACTCTCGGACACATGGGCTGGTTTTTGGGAGGTCCTGTGTGGAGCCAGGAGCTGGATCAAACACCTAACCTGAAGCAGCTGGGGGGGGCAGAGGCACTCTTCCCATCGTGTCCTGCCTCGAAGACATAAAGCTTTTAAATTTAAACAAGATTCCAAGTGGGCAACTTGTTTCTGTCCCCCAGTGTTTCAGACAAGAAGCTGAGGTGATTTCACAACTTAACTGTAACCACATGTGTGGCAGCATCCTATAGCGGCTACAGGTTATCTCTCTGCTATATCTATATCAAGTGCCTGAGAAAAACACTGCCTTTTCCAAGAATACTGTGTAGCACAATCTACTTGTAGTTTATCTGCAATCAACCACCTGCAGCCCCTGGCATTTTTTTTTTTAACTGCTATTACTGAGCTTACACAATCCGAGTAGTTACAGCCTTATGCGGTACCACTTCAGTTATATCCAGGAGACAATTAAGAGTGCCCTTATGAAACCATGAGTACCCCTTTCTCATCCTGGAGCCTTTATGATCTTCCAGGAAAACCTGTACTTTTTGTTGCCGGTTATTCAGAATTGGTTGGACTTTACCTGTGTCTTAGGGTCAACAGCAACCAAAGGTCCCCTCGATGTTTATCAGGAGATTTAAAAGCCCTTTCTTGGGGAGTTCATCTGTGTGCCTGGTTTTAAATTGCACATACACATCCCTTTCAGTCACACACCTCCTAACGAGGTGTGGTAGTCAAAGAGCACCTTACTTGCACCATCCTACTTTATTTTATGTAAAACTTGCATTTTTCCTGTGATCAAATCCAAGGGTTGGAAAACGCTTCAATAAAACTATATTAAATTTCCAAACAGGTTTTTTTTTTTTTATTTAAAAAAAAAAAGTAATTCTTTAGGAACCTCTGTTATAAGATAAAGATACAAAATTGTTTGGTCTCCCTCTTCTGGGCAAACAAAAGTAACATTTAAGAGCAGACCTTTCAAAGGCCTTAAGGCACTTTCTTGCTGATAAAAGGTGACTCCTGCACTTGCCCAGCGGTCTATTTGTGTGCTTCTCAGTGCAAAAGCAATTGAGAAACTAAGCCAAGCTTTAATGATCATTCTCATTATATCTGGGTGGTATCAGCATGCACTGAACACAGCAGATGATTTTTTTTTATTTTTTGGGCTGAACTTCTCTAAAATTGATGTAACTTGCTCTCCCTGTGTTACTTTGTATGCCCTGAGTCAGACACAAAACAGTTGCCTTTTTATTTTTCTAATCCGCGTTACCATATAACTGAAACCAGACTCTTAAGACAACTCAGCATGAAAGGTCTCCTTGTCTTCTCCATTGAATGTGTCATGTCATGCTCATAAAGCTTGCCAAGATGCACATACGTGTAGGGTGTCCTTCTAGCTTAAATTAAAACACTCTTGTATAAATCATTGCTACTTGTCAAGAGTAGCTCACAGGCTTTTCAGATGTTTCTTCATTGCTGTTCAGCACGGAGGTGCTACCCTCTCAGAAAGGCTTTAAGGATTTGCCTCTCAGAGTAGGTGTTATTTTTAAGCCCCACAAACAACACCCCAAAAGATAATTCCGGGTTTGATGTGTCTGTTTTAGTTCCCTGAGCTGTTCAGGACAGAAATGTCCCACACGTAACAGCCACTGTATGCAGATCTTGGCAACCCAATGCCGTTTCTCCTGGCACTGGTTGTTAGCATGTTGCAGGCACAGCTCCAGCACAATAACCTGAAGGAGTGGATGCATGCATATATTTAAAAATAATAATAATAATAATCTAGCTATGAGAAATAACCATGCAACATTTAAGTCTGGTTGCTCAAAGCCACGTTAATATTGTTGCAACCAGTGCAAAGTTCCTACCCTGCTGAACCTCCGTTCATAGGCCCACAGGTAGAGCACTCCACATGAAAAATGTACCGAAATATTTGTAATGTATCCCATAAGGAGACTTCCCCAAAGAAACCTATTTGCCTTTTTTCATGCTTGCAAAGATGTTTTGTACCGTAAGGGTGTACAAACGGCAACAACACTCGTGCCCTTATCAGAAGACATCTTTCTCAAATTTTAATTAGAAATACAAGTAGCCCAGAGCCTAAGCCAGAACAAATAGGAACATCTCTCCCATATCATCGCGGGGAGACGCTGTTTATGTTTGGTAAAGAAAAGGAAACGCTTGGCCTTGCTACCAAGGGAAGGTGAATGAACCTCTGGGATTTACTGAGGCTGTCAATGAGGAAATGCTTCGTACTGCCAAGGTAAGTTGAGGTGAAACTGGCGCTGGGCCAGCAAGTAATCAGAGGTTCACTCAATTACACTCGCACTTCATGTAGCAAAACACACAGAATTCTTTAAAACACCACTGGAGTTTGCTCTACCAGTTTCCCCACCCTTCCTCGATTTTATTTCTGCCTTTTGTGAAGGCAACTGCTCTGCGTGTTTGACATTAAACCCCAGAACGTAAAATACAGTACACAGACTTTTTAGAAGCACGTAATGCTGGAAAGCCAGTAGTTCAGGTTTATAAACCACAGCTCTTAAATTGGGTGGTCAGTGCAATTAGAAAGAAATGGGTTGCACAATATATTAATTTAGGGGCAAACGCGATGGAGACTTTCCAGTCGAAATAAATGGTAACAAAAGCTGCAAGGGCTTTTTACACAGAAGTCTGCAGCCAAGATTCAGTATCAGAATATAACACAAAATTACTCCAAAAAAGCTTTTCAGGAGAACCAGACTAAAAATGATAGACACAGTAACAAACGGGACACTTAAGAACTATCATCTTTATTCTGAATAATTTGAGATTGATCGCAATTACTTTAGCACCATGAAAGACATTAGACACTTTTTTTTTTCCTTTCAAACGTTTCTAAGAAAGCAGAGTTTTAAAGAACGGAGTTAAGGCTAGCAAAACGTGTCTCCTTTATATCAAAAACAACATACAAAATATGACATCTATAAAGATACTTAAACATGTCAGTGTTATCAGTATTAGCACATGTTTTAGTATAAAATCACTCTAAGCATACATGGTTCTGAGACATTTAAAACGCTGACACCATCCAGAAAAGACTACGAGGCATACCGAAAATATGCCGGTTAACGTTCCCAGAAGCCCACTCTGGAATTGCAAGGGCACTATGCTTGTCAGCAGCGAAACAGGCAAGGGAAATTATTTTCTCAGCCGTCTCCCACGTTCCAGTGCTCCTGTAGTTAAATGCAGGATGGTTGCGTATGCCCTGGCCAAAACGTGTTGTGTTTATGTGTACATACAGGCAGGCAGATGCACTCGTTGTCGGGGGGCCAGATCTGACAGAAGCGTCGTGGTGTCCGAAATCTGCTTCTGTACCACCCCTGTGGTGGAGCCCCAGCCTGCCTGAGCTGCTCCAGCTGACCCCCAGGGATGATCCTAAGGATAGGGGTGTTCCTTCGCGTCCTCAGGCACCTCCTTCAGGGCTGCAAGGAAGCATCTCCTGCCCCTCTGACACGCGCTTTCCGATGCAAGTAACTGAGCAGGGCGTTTCTGCTTTGAAATGGTAGTGTCCGTATTTTATACATGAAGCACTCGTCTGGTATGTGTGAAAACTGCCCTCGCGTCCTTCTGAGTTGACTTGGCCTCATCCTTCACTTCACAGAAACTTGCCTGATCTATCAGGCTATGGCTACGCTAAGGTTTAATGCAGGGAAGAGGTCTGAGAACAGGGAGGCTGAAAAAGTGCCAGCCCACACGCAACATGATGGGCATCAACTGAAAATCCAGTGTCTCCAAAGGGAGTTTAGGAATGTTTATGACCAAACAAAGTATGAGGAGCCAAAGGAGAAAAATGTCAATTGATTACCTCACCTGATAGCAAATGTACCCCTACAGCTGGACCAGAGAACTCATGGCTATGTCATCTTTATCTTTGACTTCACAATTTAGGGAGGTCCATGAGTAGTCATTGGAGGAAAAGTTGGAAGAATTTTGAAATGTAAAAAAGGGGCTGGTTAAAAAAAAAAAAATCTATGTAAGAGTACATTCATTCGAAATGAATGAGTACATTCGATTGGTACTTCAACAGTCTTCAAATATGTAGCCAGAATAAATCCAACAATACTTTTTATAAATTATGCCTTGTGTATTGTTGCATAGCATAGATGTGAATAAGAATCTGATGGTTTTTCAATATTTCAGACTCTTTGCTCAACGAATTTATTAGGATCTACAAGGATCTCATGCCTCCTGAAGAGACATCACAAGAGTCAGTCTCTCATAAAACTAACCCCTGGCTCAAAATTAGTGTTGGTTTCAAGATCTGGAGCATTAAGTTACGGTAGAGTAGAGCTAGAAATTTCAGCACACTAACATCTTAAATGAATTTCTTTCTACCCAATTTTTTCTGAAGCCTCCCCTGAAAATATTTTATGGTTAAAAGGAGGGAGATGATTCTGTTTATAGGATGGGGGAGCAATGTATACAAAACTATGAACTTTTCTTAAGAGAAGGATACATCTGGAGCTTTGAATGATTTAAGGGTTTCTTTCGAACTAAAGTAGTATCTTGAGCTTAGAATCTATCCTGAACAAGATTAAATCTGACATAAATCAGGTCATCAAAGCATGAGTTCGACAAGTTTTTTATGACCAGGTTTTCATACCTAATTAAGTTTCATTACAAAAATCAATTTACATTTATTCAAAATTGACAATTCGGTGCTTTTCCACTTTTCAGAGTAACAAACATTTCTACATCACGCTGTCATTTTTTCTTAAGCGTACTAAATAGATGCTATTTGTGTTGTGTTTTTTAAATTATTTTTTACTTTTTTTTTTTTTGAAAGGGGAGACAGGCTCATTTTTAAAACCTCAGGAGACACAGAATGCTATATATCTTTATACAAGTTTCTCAATGTTTAATCAGCCTCACTGCTAACAATCTGAACTTTATTTTAACTGCTTCTTACCTTATAGGACACAGTCCCCATGCTTGTGTCCAATACAGAGCTTTTTCTGTTGGACATCTCCCCCATAAATACAAACTAGCAGTAAAGAAGCTAACAAAATTCTCATGCATTAACTTTTTTCTTTTTAAATGAACTTTTATGAAATTTCACATTTTTCTGAGGCCCTTCCAATTTCAGCATTGTTGTAAAACAAGCACTAGCATCAGAAATGGCTTCATTATTCCAGCATCATCACACCAACATAGCTTCATTAACCCTAACTCCGCATCCCTCTCCCTTGACACCCTAAGTTCACTAGCTGCTTTTAAACACCATAGTAGTCACGCCTGAATGATTATTCATTGTGTCCTTTCCCTGAAGTCTTTTTTTTTTTTTAATGCTGTTCATATTTATTAAAATAATTTACATTTTCAGTTACTCAGATATGAGCGTTTGGATTTTTATTTACAGGCATGTCCTTAAAGAGTCTGGCAATCATTAATCCATATTAATGTTGTGCTGTTTCTATATTGTTTATAAAACTTAACAGCAATTACTTTATGTTCTCTCCCAGACATTTTATATAGATACTACCGAGCACCAAGTCAGGAAGATGCCATAACTATGTCAAGATGTCTTGTCAAAATAATTTAAAATTGCATTAGTGCTAAAAAGCAGCCTTAGTTTTGGTTTAAAACCCACAAAGCTAAACATGTGAAATTTAAGACCTGTGATGAATAATTTTTCATAAAGCAATAGGAAACAAGAGACTTTTATCAACATCTTAATCACCATTTCTTGCATCGCCCACATAGAAGATAATACTGAATAAAACGTTCTGCAGAAATACCCAGACAAGAACAGCATAGGCTGTTGTTATCGTTTCGGTAATGAAGGCAGCACTTTGTAGTTTCTTTAATTAACAATACTATTAACATTTAGTGACATTTTTAGAAGTATGTAGGACATGCAGAAGCAGCACAAGTCCCAGTGGATCTGAAGGGACCTCTGTCTAAGGACTGTTTTTTTTCCTACCTCCACATACCTCATTAACATTTTAAAATCCAGTTCCCTTCAGCCTTACTCACGTGAGACAGGGATTGAAATTCTACAATAAAAACAAGGTATCAGCTCCGGTCTGCAAAAATTAGGATGCTCTGCATGATTATATTTAAAGGACTTTGCGTTTTGATAGATGTAAACACTCAGCAATGGTACTGCTAACAGAATGTTTCATACCCCACAAACGTACACGGGCTATCTGAGCAGTTTCCTACAATGCTGGAAAAAGGGAAAAACAACAGAAATGGAAGGGATATTAAATGTTATAATTTTAAAACACTATCCCCCTGCGTAAAGAACAGGCATTGTCATTGATTAAGAAAATGCATTTAAATGTGCATTTAGTCTTGAAGATCACATTTAGTTTACTCTGCTATGACACTTCTGAAGACGACGAAAATGGTCGGTGTTAAATGGACTTGAAGCAAAGAGTATTTAAGTATTCCCACTGCGTTGCTGATCCATATCCACAAATAAACAATGGAACAACTTGGAAGTGTTTTATCTTAAACTGCTGTTTTCATCTCAAAGTATCGTGCTTTCAAATATTTTTTCAGAGAAAGAGGTGTTCAGAAATACACACTTGACAAATAATACATAATACCTAAGAATACAGAAGTAATAGGGACATATTTTAGGATGGTAAGCAACAGATAGGACACGCAAAGACATTTCTTTACATTTGAATAAAATACGGAGCTGTATCCTACACACAACTGAACACAGCTGTAAAGACCCATAATAAAGCTGCATGTTCACTCAGTGCAAAAATCTTTAATTGTTGAATGTTGTTTTAATAGCTCATGTATATTTCCACATGTTAAAAACAACTTCATATTATTGCACTTAAGATGTATTCTTTAAAGCTGTCTGGTTTTTAAGAATAAAAAAAATAAAAACCTAAAAGGTACAATAGAATAATTTGAAATTTAGACTAATTCACAATACTGCTCCAAAGTACTGCTGTCAGTACAATTTCAGAACTATCAGGTATTCTGAGGTTTAGCGGAAAATAGATATATGTACACACACAATAGTATTGCATTAACAAAACAAAAAAAAGGTTTCAATGATTATCATTCAGCAGCTTTACTTCTAAATGTGTTTGCATTCTGAGCTCAGTTTGTGCATATTCAAAACCTATTCCCATACGAAATTTCATCCTTGATGTTCTTTGTTGAGGCTACTGTGAAAAATACGAATCAATGCAAAAAACAGGTGAATGATTGAACTGAGCCAGCTGAGGTTTTTAGAGAAAATAAAACAGATGTTTAATAATTTAGCCTTGTAATGCAAAATGATTTCAGAAAGAGCTAAGGGAATCTAAAAGATGCATATTCATGTCCATGATATAGAATTATGAAAGACTGTAAAACAGCATGAGAAACTTCACAAATTAAGTCAGTTTTACGAGCTACTACATATTCCAGTATAAAACACCCATGGGTGTGCCTGCATTGAGTGGACCATAAAAGTTACTGAATAATCCTGGGTCAGTGAACCAAAAACAGCTTCCACACTTCCAGAAATACATTCTGATGAATTAGAAAAATATTCTCTTCACACACAGAATCACTACGCATGTACACACTAACGCTACAAAACTTCAAATACCTTGAAAATGTGGCTTGAAATCAAACTCAACGACTCATCAAAAGAAGTCCAATGGTATAAAAGATTCTTAGAGCAGTTTTGCAATTTGAGCAATAGTTCAGAAGTCCTTTAGTATCATATAGTATCTCCAGCCAAAAAGTAGAAACATAGCTTTGGTAGAATAAAGTTATGCTGGTACAGGAAAAGAAAGCATCAAAAACCTGATTCCATTTCTTTGACTGTTTTTTCTGCAGCATCTGACACCAAAGTGCTTTCATTTTCCAGCATTTTCTCAGTAGTTTCTCCGTCAACAGTTTTTGCTCTTTCTTTTAACTTCTGCCGTTCGTGGACCCAGGGGATGATACATAAAATAGCTCCACCGATAAGTGGGGGGACTCCAGCCAGGTAGAATGCTACATCATAGGTACCTAGGTGATCACGAAGCAGACCTGGAAAGGGAAAGAATTACCACCAATAAATGCTGGGGCCTTCGGAATACACAAAAATCATGTCTCGTCTTTGGGTTCAGAAATGTGAGGGTTGGCACAGATTATCAGCATCACTAACCTGACTACCTGAAGGCCAAATATGGACATAATGTTTGTAGAAAGGTATTTCAGAACTGATTCAAAGACTTCATGTAAAGAAGAACTCATAATGTAATCACTCAACTACTTAATTACCATCCACTGTTAAAAAACGTGTGTCATATTTCCTATTTGACAGTTATTCATTTCACCTTCTCCAACATTTTAGTCTTCTAATAAACTTTGAGAAATTCTCCCCTCTTTTGCTAACAGTTGCCTTTGATCAAGTTGCCTCAATCTTGTTTTTGATATGCTGTACATATTGCATTCCTGGCAGCCCCTTATTTAAAAAGAAAAGTGTGGTTTTCAGCAATTCACTGTAATCGCCCTTTCTCAAACCTACTTCTATCAGTTAAATTCTATTTAAGCATTAATAGCTGAGATAGTATATACAGATCAGGAATGACCTAATCTATCCTGTTACAGCTTAATAATTCTGCTCTTTATAATGCTGCATAGGTCAGCTACGTCTTACTAAGAATCTGTCAGTAGCCCTCCAACACCTTAGAGTAAATTGCGACCAGAAATCACTGATGGTAAATATTGTAGCTAAAAGTCATTCTCACCTCACAAAGAACTCCCAATTTTCATCTTCAAAACTTGTATTTTGTCAAACAGACTTCCATTAAAGGATGCTTAGAAGAAGGAACTAAAGTGACCAGAACTTTTATGCTCACAGTTGTTTTTACAAGAGCAAATTTTTGAGTCCATTTAACTTTTAGAGATTCTAACTTGGAGTCCTTCTGTTACACAGTCAATACATAGGCTATCACTCAAACAGCATGGAAAGTGTCAGGTCCTAAATCCAACCTGAAAACCTGCATTTCTCTTGAGAGGAATGTTTTACCAAAATATTTTTTTTTAAAAAACATCTGAAGCAAACTTTTTTAAAGTGATTCACTAATTCACAAGCGGGAGTTAAATTCATCATATATTCTGGGGTATGGACAGAAAAATCTTCCAACTGCAGATGACATAGGAACAGAAAATCTGGCAACCATAGAGGCATATTTACAGCTACAGACCATGTTTATTCTCACCTGCAATGGGTGGACCAACTGTCATAGGTATTGACATGAGTCCAAGGAGAAATCCTATGGCCTGGGAGACATCCTGAGCCCCAACAAGCTCGAAGGCGATAGGAGCCATAATGCAAATGAAGCACCCATCAAACAGGCCCATGAAGAGACAGACAGCAATGAGACCTCCAAAGACATGGCACAGTGGAATCATCATAGACATCAAGCCGATAAAGAAGAATGAGGCCACCTAAACGTAACCATGGAAAAATATTAAAACGTACTGCATCAAATCAGCAAAAACAATGGGAATAGATGAGCCTCCTTGCATTCATAGTGAATCAAATTGTCTGCCCGTATTTACTTTAAGGTAAATAAGCATGGATTGCCACCATTACAAAGCAAAATAAAACGAACACTTCAAACTGTCATGACATACAATCACAGAAATTCCAGCACTCGTTTCACGATTTTTCAAAATTCATTTGTAATAAACTATGCTGCGATGATTGTGTAAGGAAGGAATTTCCTGCATACCAGCATCTCTTGGAAAGTTACTCTTCAATCCTTCCACAAACAAAAGCCACAAAATGTATTTTAAAAAAAATCATACAACTAAACACTCAATAATTAGACACCTCACTGCTGTAATTTAAGCAACAGTATCAGTATTATTAGGAGCAAAGACTTTACGGTGCTTATATTCACAGGTAGTACCTGGAAGCCTCATTTCAGTTTTTCCACACAGGCATCTTCTGTATTTCTGTTTATTCTTGTATATTTTTAATCTTCTCTTTAATCTTTATATTCTACAAACTTTATGATTATTATTTGTTTGAAGTAAATTAAAAGAATATAAATACGTCTTTCTACAAAATGAAACAAAAAATCATTCCAAATAAAATCAAGTATTTAAAGAAAAGCAAAAGCTTATGCGCCACCCATATGTCAAGCATAGCAAACCAATGTCCCACCTAAATGCACAAACAGGTTTTCCACACAAGGCATACGCATTAAAAGAAAACAAGGTCACTTGTCACTCCTAAACATCACAACTTTTGGAAGGGTATTGTTGACCAGATTAACTGTATTTTAATTATTCTAAGGTTAAACACAGCACTAAAACTAGAATCACTAAACTTTATCTGTAAGAGACAGAATATATAATTTTATTACTAAAGATACCATTTACAAAGCAAAACAGAGTGAAACAGCTCCTTAGGGAGTGCAGAAACAGAAGAAAGAGGAAGGCTGGATTTACTGGATAGAGCTTTTATAAGCTGTTCAACTATAACACAGTCAAGTTTGAAGAGAAAACAGAGATTTCACCTGCACTGGTCAAAATTCATTTTTAGTAATTTTCACACAAGATAGGATGATGGTATGAATGGTTGGACAACCCAGAATAACACCTGCAGTGAAAATTCATTTTCCCTCCTAAAAATGCTTACTTGAAACAGAAGAGCTGAAGATGAAGAGGCAGTGAATAACCTAGCAAAATAAATGTGTTATTCCCATTTGAAACTAGGAGAAACCAGTGGTATGCAGAAGCATCAGAACTCATGCCCTAAATAAATCCATGACTTTCCAGTTATCCAATTTTCGAACAAAAAGCATAAAAAAGCTTATGGAGATTTACTGCAAGTTTGATATGTATCTGATAAAAAGATCTGAAGGTATTTGTGCCTTGGAACACCTCAATGCCATCTTTTCACTTCTAAAACTTAATATTGAAATTTCCTAAAAGTGTAAGAATATGTACTGGGTCAATCTAAATGAATGAGCTAAAGTCACAGTCCCTTTCATCAGGGAGTCTATACATATATGGCAACAAATATTTTTTCTTCAGAAAGTTGGTTCTTTCCCAAGAATTTTTGAGTAATGCAGTACAGATAATAGCCATTAGATGTCTCCCTTGTTATTCCTCATTTTATAAAAAAACATCAGAATAAGAACACCCAGTAGCTGATAACATGTAAGTTATTACCTAAAGCTTTTCCAAAAGTCTGAACTAAAACTGAGACTTTAAATAAATAAATAAATAAATAATAAAGTGTTTATAAGTGCAGAGGGCAAGAAATGGGTATCCATCTTCATCCCCAAACCTCAGCATTTCCCGAAACTGAAGGAACTTTTACCTCTTCCATGCAACTCTTTTTGCAAGTAACCCACTTCATTCAGCAAAACTTCTCAGCTAAGCACCTCTAATATCCTCGTTGGCTGAATCAGCACGTGCTATGCACAGAATATACTCTACACCAAATTATCACCTAACAAAGATCAAGAAAGAAGAACCAAAATCTTTAGTGGTGGAACATGAAGCAATCTTTCTGTATGCATCAAGCAGTTATGGGATAAAACAGGGAAAGCAGAATTCAGAGAATCATGAAAGGTTTTCCTACTCCCTTGCTAACGATTCCTGATTTCTGGCATTCCCTGATGAAAATTGCCAGTAGGTAGTAGCCATGTTTTCTTAACACTAAAAACAAAACCAGAAAGATCTAAAAGATTCATGAAGTTTACGCCAGAGGCCCCTAGTGTCAAAAAACATGTTTTTTGCTAGAGTGTTGAAATCTCTCAAATTTGAATCGTCAATCAGTTAATTCCGTTTACTTAATGGTTCCTGCAACCAGAGCCTTCAGAATACGTTTTGTATATGTGTATATTCCTTCAAAACCATGCGAAGACATACCTGTAAATAAACTTTTTTCGCACCGGGAATATAATCGGCAACTCTGCCAAAAATCAATCGGCCAATTCCTGAAGTAATGCCCAGGCACAGCAGCAGCACTTCTTCTCGCACATTGTCACCAAATCTGTCTTTCACATGCTTCATCTGTTTAAAAAGAGGGTTGAGGAAATAAACAGGCTTTAGAACAAAAAGGAAGAGAAAGCGTAGAAAACTTCGAGTTAAATAGAGGTGATCTGTGAACCTCAGACTTAAAATACGTCTACAAATGATCCAACTTGCTTATTCTACTGGGACGGGTTTTAAAATGTTTTTGCTGCACCAACTTACCAGTATTAAGTGCGATACAATAAAACAATCTGAGAATGTATTGTTGCTTTATTCACATTTTTAAAGGAACTTACTTCAAGAAAACAACAAGGCTAACACCCGCAAATTAAAGAGATCTCAAAAAGCATCCCCCCCCCCCAGGCACATTTAATATACCGGCAATAGATGCAACGTAATGCTGAATCCACAAATGATCCCTAGAACTGGGTGCGTCACTGGTTAGGTCATACTCTTGGGTCCAAGGGCACCAAATGATCAATGAGCATCACCACAATCCTGTTTCGTGCATTCAGGCATTCATACCAAACTTGTAACAAAGTTCAGGGGAAGAGCACGAGGGAAATGGGCAAAGCGGCGGAGGCTGCAGGAGGGGTCTCCCAGGCTGTCCATCCTGACATCGAGGGACAAGGAGGAAGAGGAGCAGGAACCACCAGCAGTGCTGAGCACAATGGCAAGCACTTGCAGGAGAGGGTGCGTTAACAGCAATAATAAATAGGGCAGATAAATAGGGCAGACACAGGGGAAGAACGATTTAACAAGCCACTTTGACCTACGGTCCTGCAAGTAGACCATCAAATACAGACGTGATGAATTATCAGTATCAGTAATTCTAACCTTTCAAGTCATGTAAAAGAAAAAAAAAGAAGAAAAATCATAAGACTGGCTTGGTGGATTTGGATTTCTATTCTTTCTGGAGCACAAATAACAGCTTTTGTGGGCATTAAGGCACAATAATTTTAGACGGTGTTTTGTTTGTCATTTTGTTTGGGTTCTGGTGGTTTGTTTGTTTATGTGTGGAGTTAAAACAGCCAGGAAGACCAGAAACTAGCCATCGGACAGACTTTTGCGCAACCACTTTCTGAAACACTGTTGGGCAACACCAAATGCACCAAAGTGCGCATGAAAAGATGCAGAAATTATCTGCATAGTCCTGTGATCGCTGTGCTCAGAATTAGTTCTGAGAAAGGAATTGTAGAGACTCAGAGGTAAGAAGTAATCTGAAGAAAGTGATTTTTAAGGCATGATGTGGTCACCTTGTCTCAAATGTTCTTCTGCAGGCCGACAGACCTGGCGAGCAAAAGCCACACAGCAATTTTTGTTATGAATAATTCTGATTAAAATAACTTCAAACTAGAGAATTCTTATTCCCCTATCTATAATGTAAAACTAAAGTTTTAGGAAGTACTAGGCTGAAATGCTCAGGATTCTCTTGTTAATACACCAGCAGAGCCATTTTTTTTTCAACATAAACATTTGCATCAACACAAACATTTGCATCAAACATTTGGTTGATTTTCTTAAATACAAAATCAGTTGGTTTTTGTTTGCTTATCACATAGTCTATTAAATCTAGTATTTATTTGTCTAATATAACTGATTTTTGTCAGAAAGGAAGAAAAATAAGCGTTGTTTTGTTTTTAAGCATGAACTTGATTGAAAGATACTTTAGATTTCTATTTTTGAGGATTTTTTCTTTCTTTTTAAGACCCATTTAGAAACAGAATCTGATGAAGTTTTTTTTGTTTTTTTTTTTTTTTCTCTGGAGTGATACTTAATATAAAAGATAAGCTGTTGTACTTGATGGTGTTCTGTCAAAGGGGAGAAGAAACACTGAATTTTCCCACCCCTACCTTTCTGGGTCTGTCAACACCTGCTGGCCCAGCTGGCAGAGAAGCCCCGGTATTTTCTGCCACCCTTTCCACCTGTTCTGCTTTCATGTTCCTGCAGCCTCCAGCTGCTTTAATTAGCAGACCTCACTCATCCAATCCCCAGGGGTGAGATAAAGGTCTACATCTAGATAACTACGAGCTGTGCATCTGCAAATGAGCACCTGGATTTCTCAAAGCAACACTCCAAGGGTGAAACGCTGTCCTTTTTCAGGTCAACAGAAGCGAAAGCATTAGATTCAAGCAGCTGAGGTAGGAAAACAACAGCTACTTGTCTTCAGCTTCAAACATCTAAATTAGCAGTTATTTTTCCAGAATTCACTCCTTATAAGAGCACCACAACCTTCAAGAGAGCTTCCAAGAAGATGAAAGGAGAAATTGTTTCCCCAGGAGGCCAGCAGGCAGTGGAGGGGGCTGTCCAGAGGTTTTCCAGACCCAACAGGACAGAGCCCTGAGTGACCTGGTTAAAAATTAACTATAAGTTAATTACATTTATTGATGAAGCAGCATAAAAGAAATACCCCCAGAATTCAGGATTTCCATTGATTCTAGCTGACAGTACTACTGAAAACCCCTCTGATGGACCATGGCTTATGCGCCTTCTCGGGCAGCATCTCCTGCACCAACGTTCTTGTCACTGCAGAACCATACAGGCTGTGATTACCTGACTTTGTAGGCAGCCAAAGGGGGACCCAGGCACATGGCAGACACAAAGGCCACAGCATTTCCCTGTGGGTTTTGCCTGTCCTCGGTAACATACCAAACCCTTCACACTTGGTAAGTTGCAAATCTAATTTGTCCACGTGTAGCAGAGGCCTGCAATTTTGCCTGAGCCAACCAGTACAAATAATGCAGCTCCAGAGGCTTAGGAGATAAGGAAAGCATTCCGAAGGAAATCTAGGATTACAGATCTCTAAATAGCACGTTATGACAGGAAATCTGCCACGCTTTCCAAATTATGAAAGCTACGCATCTATAAATAAAAGAATCGGCAAATTATGAAGAGTTTTACACTTTTTCATTATTCTCATTTTAGAATACACATTTTTCCCAAAGGAAGTTTTGATTTTGATTTTTCTTTCCCAGACATTAAAAAAAAAAGAAGAAAAAAAAAGCCTACACAAACAAACTTTTCATTCTTCAGGCTTTCGAGAAATGCATGAGTCCTATAGATGTCCAAGCACTACGGTGATTCCTTGGAATTCAAGTAGTGACCCATGCCTATAAGTAACCAAGATGAAGCTTTGTATGAGGTGCCAGGTGAGGCTAAAACATAACCTTACACACAAAATCTATGATCGGAGACTAATCTATCATAGTGGCCATCCCACTCCATATAGGATCCACCCTGAGATATAAACACTAATATTCAGAACTGTTTGTGTTTTGTTTTTTGTTTTTTTTTTTTTTAGGTATTAATTGGCCCTCTTAGCCAGGTAACTATTTTAAATTCAGACACCCCAAATAGCTCTAGACTTGTATAAAGCATGAAACTCAGTGGTCAGTCTAGGCACTGCCATTATCTCCATAATCTATTGATTTGTGCATCTGTTACTAATATGGCATTCAAAAACCCATTCAGTATTATTAGAAGACACGATGGCCTTGAACTCAGATTTTCACAGGAAATCCGATTATTTGTTGATAATTGAACTCAGGTTATTTGTTCTTTTGAGCTGGAAGGGCAAGAAAGGCAAAAGAATTAAGCAACAAATTAAGTGCACATCCAAGTAGAGGTATTAGCAATTGACAGGCCACAGTTGGAGCAGGTATAAATGGAAAAAATATACTGATGTTCCTCTTCAAGACTAAAACTAGATCTTCAAAATTTCAGAAAACTAAATGATTGTTTCTTTCATACATCATCTGAGAAAAGAACAGCCTTACTGGTGATGCACAGACCTTTCTGTTCTGTTAGTGCCGTCACACAGAATCCTTCTTTCAATGAAGGAACCAACCACATGTCTGAACAAACTGATTCCTTTCAAGGCCTTGAGTGCCTTAATAAAGATTTATCAAGAATTTTGCAATGAGCTGTCCTAGAAGACTGAAAGTTTCAGGGTGTGCTGAAAAACAAAACGTGAAATAGCTCTAGATAAGTCACTGTTTGGTCTATAACAAAAGAACTCAACACACACACACAAAAAAGCAACTTGGTTCCCAGAGAACTGTACAATAATAAGCACATGGAAGATCATTCCATGCAAATACATTTCTGATCTAGACTCTGATGAAGTGTTTACTGCTGAACCAACAGCTCATGGACCAGCAACTTCTGAAATAATCTTGACTCCTGAACATCAACTGAAAAAGTGATATTTACGCCAGGAAGTGTGAAATAGCGCTATTAATACCTAACACAGAATGATAGCACTGCTATAAAAATGTATCTGAGATTGATAAAGTTGTTTTTGTTTTTTGTTTTTTTTTTCTTTTTTTCACTTTTGTTTTAATAAATCAAGTGTCTTCACCTGGCAAAAGTATGTATATATATATGTTTCTGGAAGAGACATTCCCGTTTACATATTTGCCACAACAGTGATACTTCCTCTTTCTAGCTCTGGCCAATTTATTCTATATAACAAACAAGGAAAGAATGCAAGAAACAAGGTGATTATTACCTGACAACAAGGAAATTTTCTATTATTTCACCAAGTAAAGCAGATTAAACAGAAGAATCTATACACCATAATGATTCTGAGTATCTTGAAAGACTGAGAGAGCTGGGGATGTTCAGACTGAAGAAGAGAAGGCTGTGGGGAGACCTCATTTGCAGCTTTTCAATACTCAAAGGGGGCTCGTAAAAATGAAGGGGAGCAACTTTTTGCTTGGGTAGATGACAAAACAGGAGGGAATGTTTTTTGATCTAAAAGAGGGGAGATTTAGATTAGATGTTAGAAGGAAATTCTTCATTCTGAGGGTGGTGAGGCACTGAATGCTCCATCCCTGGAGGTGTTCAAGGCCACGTTGGATGAGGGAGGCCCTGGGCAACCTGACAGGGAGTGGTATCCCTGCCCATGGCAGGGGGGTTGGAACCAGATGATCTTTGAAGGTCCCTTCCAACCCAAAGCCGTTCTGTGATACGATGATATGTATGGTCAGTTTTACTCGAGAAATTCAGATTATAACAGTTAACAGGTTAACTCTTTG